CCTAACAGACTGAGCCACCCAGGCGCCCCTTGGTAGTCCCTTTGGATTCTCCTGTCTGATTGTAATACATGGTCCTTCCAAGTGTGGTCTAATCGATAGATACCCTCTCCTCCCCACAGGAGGTGTGTGCACTGAGAGCTGGGACTGTGCCTGAAGCACCCAGGCCACGACAGAGCCCCTGTGGCAAGTGTGGCCCCGCCACCTGGCCTAGCCCTTGGCAAGCATTTCCGTCAGCACTTATACCTCTGAGACGTGGAATGCCCTGTGGCAGTCCTCTTTGCCATCCAGGGATGGAAACAAAGGCTCAGCCCTTATGGAGAAGGGAAACAGGCCCAGGGAAGACAGGGACCCCCCCTGAGCTGGGCCGAGGCTGGGAACGGAGCGCGGAGCTCTGAACTCTCAGTCCCGGGTTCTTGTAACAACTCCGGGCTGTCTGATGTCATGTGTGTGCCAGGCCTAGGGGGGTGGGGAGGAGGCTGGGGAGGGGCAGAAGGGTACAGAGTGCTCTGGGGCTCGATCATCCTGCAGCTGAGAATAAAGAAGCTGCTCACAGCCAGCTCATGGCAGGGAGGCCACCGAAATGCAAGCTGTGTGGGTTCCCATGGCCGGGAGAGTTCAGGGTCATGGGCAGGGGACCTAGAGGCCACTACATGTGCTGGTCCCACTGTGAGCCATTCCCCTTCTCAGCCCCTTGGTCTGGCTAACACCCATCCCCCACCTTCCAAGAAACCTCTAGGGCCTCAGGTCTGGGTGAGGTGCCCCTCCTCGGGCTCCCTGCCTGAGAGCCCCCACCCCTGAACACCATGTCACCCAGCACAGAGTGGGGCCTTCGGGTGCGTCTGTTGAGTCACAGAATGCTAGGTCTGTGTGTAGTCAGTGCTGACTAGACCTCCCACGTGCCCCCAAGGTCATGCCCAGCAAGAGCGCGGCGGGGGGCTGCTTCTGCACCTGCTCCCATCCCTGCAGAGGCCTACACCCCAGATGCCAAGCCAAGCTGGCACCTCCAGAACCACCTTCCTACCCCAGCTGATTCTAGAACCATCCTCCCAGCAATCTGGCTCCCAAAGGCTGTGTTGGAGCCATTCACAAAGGTCTCTCGGAAATTGTCTTCTAGGCACTCCAGCCTGTGAGAGTTAAAAAAAGAGCCAGGCTTATCACTGATTTTTCCTTTTAATGGTTTTACAGTGACATGAAATGCTTTTGTTTCCTGAGAGAAAAGGCATGTTTCAAATGAATTATTAACTGAAAGGAATTGGCTGTGAGCAAGAAATCCTCCACTGACTGGAGAAAAATGCAGACAGACAGCTGGCTTGCATGATGCTATCTCTTACAAAGCCCCCAGCAGAGGTCAGCTCGGTCAGCAGTGGGGGGCATTTGCTCTCCTCCGCGGCTGTAACATGGGCTACCTCCTCCTCCCTCCCCCAAAGGGTTAAGCCTCTCCCACCCAGGCCTCCTTCCAGGCCAGTTCTGGAAGTGCTGGCCTCTATTTCTGCCTCCACTTGACTGTGGACGGAGCCCCCTCCTGTCACTGACTATCGGTCCTTGAGTGCCAGATGTCCTTTCTGGATTGTGAGGTCTGGAGGAGCAGAGGGCTGGGTCTTCACCCCATGTCCCAGGGTTTGCCCAGAAGAGGATGGATGCAGATCATGGTGCAGGTGCACACGGGACAGGGACTGTGCTGGTCTCTTTACTGTCCCCACTCACCCAGTCCGTCCTCTCTCCCTGCTCTGTGCCCTGGAGGGCTGACGCCTCCCAGTGCTGGTCCTGGACTCTTCTGCTCCTTCGGTTTGGCTAATGAGAGACATTCTCAAGAGACCTGGGAGCGTGGAGAAAATTTGGGGTGTTTCTCCTCTTCCTTTCCTGTTTTGGGGCTCATCTCCAGCTGTTCCAAGCACAGATCCTGCTAAGCGACCCCTCTTTGGAGTCTTGGGCTCTCTAGGCTCCCTAGTTCCTATGGCACAATTTCCTTCCCTTGCACTGGTCCTAGGGGTGCTGACTACCCCCACTGCTACTAGTCCTGGAGTGCTTCACAGGCACCATTAGCTCCCAGAAGGCGCCCCACACACGTTCCTGGAAAGGAGCTCATACTTCTGAAGGAGCCCGCTCACGTCCCTGGAGGTAGCCCCGCCCATGCCCCAGGAGGGGAGCCCCGCCCACACCCTGGAGGGGAGTCCCGCCCACGCTCCTGGAAGGAGCCCCGCCCACACCTTGGAGGGGAGTCCCGCCCACGCTCCTGGAAGGAGCCCCGCCCACACCCTGGAGGAATCCCCGCCCACACTCCTGGAAGGAACCCCGCCCACACACCTGGAAGCGATACCCTGAGCCCTGTGGCTTGAGGTCTCTTTCCCCTGACACACTCAGGAATCAAGAACTCAGAGCCTGTGGAAAGGGACAGAGGGCAGACAGGAGGCCCCCCAGGCTGCTCTGAGGGGAGGTGAAGGGGGGCGCCCCCACACGCCTTCCTGGGGGATCCCCAGCTCCACTGAGATGAAGCCTAGCAACCACAGCTGGCGACAGTGCCACAGTCAGCTATTGATGTCAGTTACTTCTGGTGTGTTCCTCTTGCCTCCCTGACAGCATGTGTTTTCAGAAGTTTGGGGCAGGGGCGGAAGAGGGCGTCCTCGGCGGCACGAGGGCCCGCTCTCGGGCAGTCTGCTGGTGGATCGCCCCAGGTCCTCGCAAGCCCCCAGCAGTTCCCTGAGTCACAGCAAGCTGCTCAGCCTGGTGGGACAGGCGCCTCCCCCGTCAGGCTCTCGCTCCCCCCAGCCTCGTCTCCCAAGTTCCAGGAGCTTCCTGGTGTCCTGGTGCCTTTGACTGGAGAGCCTACCTGCTCTGCTTCTGCATGTCCTGCTACCATCGCAGCAGGCTCTCCGCTCAAATGCGGTACATCCCGATCAGAGTCAACCATGACTCTTCCCTGCGCCTGGACCGGCTGCCAGCAGACTGCCCTGTGTCACCTGCCTTGCAATATCTGACCCCGCCACCACCCTGTGGTCAGGCGAGCAGCCCACCGGCACAGCCTGGCTCTCACCTGTCTCTGTCCCTACAGAGCCTGACACACAGCAGATGCCCATGAAACACTAGGGAATTGGACTGGCTGTGGCCCCTGGGAACCTCCCAACACCTGGGCCTCACTCTGAACAGCAGGGCCTTTCTGTCCATCTGTCCTCCTGTTCACAAAGGAGCACGGACACCCCCCAGGTGCCCGGGCACCCTTGAGGAAGGGCAGACAGGAATACTGAGGTCTGTTCTTAGCTCAATACTTGCAATAGTATCTATATCGTATAGGAGTCAGGCCTGGGCTGTGGAGTCACATGGTTCTGGGCTCCAATTCTGAGTCCACTGCTCCCTGGTTATGCCATCCTGGGAAGCCCCCTTTTCCCCTTTGAACCTCAGTTTCCTCACATAAAATGCAGCGTATCGGAAACAGGTGTGGCAAGGACGAACTGAGGGAATGTCCGTGAGGCCATGAGCCCCCAGCTGTGGAAGAGACTGGGCGACAGACACTCTCTTGTGATTGGCCATTGTTTTTGGACAGTACCTCGCAGCATGAGAGCAGGGAGTGGAAGGCAGATCCCCAGGGCGTGGCCTGTCCACGTGGAGCTGCTGTACCTGGACACCCCCCCCCCCCCCCCCCCCCCGTCTGCTCTTCCAACAGCCACCAGGACGCTGCTGGGCTGTTGCCTGTTAACAGCCCTTCACCGTCTGTCCCTGACCATGCATTTGTTTTAAGACTTTGAACTTGATGTTTTACTCTTTCTGCTTTTCAATCATTAAAGTGAAATCACATAGAACTAGTGAAATATTTCAGGTGTTACGATTGTTCTTAACATAGATCCCCTAACTTTGAGCCTCCGGGAATTTCCAAAACCTTTATTAGAAATCTATGCACAATGCCTAGGATGCTTTGGCGTTTTGCAACATTTTTGTTTGTCTTTAAACTCTATCTTTCCCCAAGGTCCCTGGGGGCTGTTGCACTTTTGTTTTTGAGCCTAGAGGTCAAGGGATCTAGCTGGAGCTGCTGTGCTATCTCTTGCCAGGGGGTACCGTCCACAGCATGCCGTAGTCTACCATACTTAGGGCCCTGATATGGCTTCAACCTCCTCAGACCCCAACAAGAGCCACACTCTGCTGCAGGCCCCCAACCCGAGAAGGGGATGGTGACTGGCAATCACTTTGGAAGAGAAGTGAGTTGGTAGTTACAGAAACGACAGTGAATATTCCCGAAAGAGAGTTTGCTGTTTGGATCATTTATGACTCCCCGGGAACACTCTCCTCTTCATCCCCCAAAACCCCAGCTTCAGTATCACATTCGCTGAAAACCTTCTCTGAGGCATCTCAACCTCTCTCTCCCCCCCAGAGAAGCATGGCTTCTCCGTCATCCTTCTTTCTCTGTCTGCAATTACCCGGACGATGGACGCTGGGGCAGGACTCGGTGAGCACTTCCTGTATGCTGGGCACTGTGTTGTGCATACTGTATACAGAAGCACGTCACCACTCCTCACAACAGTATAAGGTTGGCATGCCGTCCCCCCATTTTACAAATAGGGAAAGTGAGGGCCAAAGAGGTTAAAGTGGTTTCTTCCTGGTCACAGAGTTTGAACTGGGATCTGAATTTCGATCTGACTCTGAAACCCAGTTCCTGCTCCAAATCAACATGGCGCCTCCCTGCAGTGGCTCCGTCATCCGCCCTGCAAGGATCATTTTCAAACTCTACTCATAGGCGCCCTGAGTGAGCCCCCAGTACAGGGCCTGTGACTTCCAGAGAGGGTCACCACACACACACACACACACACACACACACACACACACTGCACTGGGACTGACATATAATTGGCGCTCATTCAATGTTTGATGAAGGAAGATGGACATTCATTATATATTCTGCCTATTAAATGCTTGACAATTTTTATGGTTTAAAAAAGCATGATGGGAGTGGGCGGAGCAGCCCCCAGCCCAGGTGGCGCCCCCTTAAGGCTCAGAGCTGGGTGAGCACTCACCTTTTGATGGCTTTGTAGCAAATGATGACAAGCACAGTGAGAAACACCAGGGAAGCACAACATACCGCGATGACGATCACCAGCCCTGACCACCAGCTTTCCTCAGCCGGGCACGAGGTAGAGTTGGGGGCTGCAAAACACAGGCACAGGCTGAGTGTCCTCTGGATGAGTGGGTGCTGGCCGCGTCACAGGTGGACCTTGGTGGGTGACACCAGCGGTGGCCTCACCATCCTTCATCTACCGGAATGAAGCCTCCCTGACCTGTCCTGCCATCCCCACCCCCACCCCAGCGGCAGGTGACATCATAGCTGGCCCCGTGCCAGGCCCGTGCTCCGAGCAGGGGTTAAGCACTGAGCCCCGGGCCATCCATCCTCCTCTGGCATGAGCTAACTGACAGCAGGGTCAGCTTTAATTTCCCATGAAAAATAACAGAGCATCTCATTCTCTCAGTTGAGGCATTAAATCCGCTTCCTCCGAGGGTGGGGGTGGGGAGCAGGGCTCACAGGGCACATGGCGGGAGGAGGCCCGACGATGTGAGTTTGGTAAGCTGATTTCTTCTAAGAGGCAGGCTGTCTCCCTTCCTGGCTTCAGCCCACGTGCCGAGTACTTACGGCCATCTCAATTTGCACGGGTGGCCGAAATTCGGAAAAGTCTGTCACTGACAAAGCATCTGACTCTGGGTGCCATGGGGCCCCTTTTGCCATGAATCCCCATGGGGTCCTTGGGGTGAACCTGTCCTCCCCTTGACCAGTTGCAGGGAGCAGACCGTGGCACTGGTGGAGATGAGGCTCATGCAAAGCTGGTTTGCTCTTCTGAGAAAAGCAGAGACGTCACACAGCCTCATCCCAGAGGCTCTGACAGGTTCAGAGATGACTGAAAAGAAGTGCCCCGAATTGCAAAAGAAAATGGAGAGGGAGGAAGGGAGCATGGGAAAGAGAGAAAGAAGAAGGGAAAGGGAAGGAGGGAAAGAGGGGTGTTGGGGAGGGTGGGAGGGAGGGACATATGGATGGACAGATATACAGACACTACTAGCCTTGGGCAGGTCTTCAAGACCTATGACCATATGTAAAGGGAATCAAACCAATGCCCTAAATCTGTGTCTACTTAATAACAGCCACCTTCAGGGGTGCAACATGGGGAATAAGTGAATAATTTCCCAAAGGATACCATGGATGGCTTCGTCACCATCATCACCATTATTACTGACGTTGTCATAATCATCAAGGTGTAATTTACATATGGTGACGTTTACCCATCTGAAGCGCGTGGTCTGATCGGCTTTGACAAATGAGTTCGCCAGTGTAAGCCACCCCTCTATCATGATGCAGGGTTTTCCCATCACCCCAGAAAGGTCCCCTGTGCCTCCTTCTAGTCAATCCCTGTCCTGCAGGCAACCACTATTTTGCTTTCTAAATTTCTTTTTTAATCTTTAATTTTGAGAGAGAGAGTGTGTGTGTGAGTGGCGAGGGGCAGAGAGAGAGGGAGACACAGGGTCTGAAGCAGGATCCCGGCTCCGAACTGTCAGCAGAGAGCCTGACGCAAGGCTCGAACCGTGAGATCCTGACCTGAGCCAAAGTCAGATGCTTAACCAACTGAGACACCCAGGCGCCCCAACCCACTAGTCTGCCTTCTAAAATCATACATTAGATTTGCTTCTTCTTGAAAGTCATAAAGTGGAATCATGCAGCGTGTATTTTTTTTTTCCTCCCTTTAGTGAGCACATTTTTTGAGATTCATCCACATTGTTGCAAATTTCAGTAGTTCCTTCTCTTTGATGGCTGAGCGATATTCCACCACAGGAATAAACTATAGTCTGTTTATCTGTTCACCCACTGATATTCCACCACAGGAATAAACTATAGTCTGTTTATCTGTTCACCCACTGTGAACTCCTAGGCTGTATTCAGGTTTTGGCTTTTGTGCAAAGGTTGCTATAATCACTTGCATATATGGTATAGGCATCTTTTTGTGTTTTTCTTGGATAAATATCTGGGAGTGGGCTCGCTGGGTCCTACAGTGCGTGTGAGTAACTTCATAAGGAGCTGCCACTCTTGTTTTCCAAAGTGCTTTTACTCTTGAACTAGGAGAGAGTAACAAGTAGGGAGGGGCTACAGGTTGCTGACTTGCCATCAGGCGTTGCTGCGGCTGAGTGGAGTGGGGGAGGGGGTGATGCAGGAAGCCGGTATGTGCTTCACAGTGAGCAGGTGCTAAAGCCTCTTTAACCAACGCAAGGTCCCCAATGTGGGGCTCAGATCATTACACAACCCAGCAGATTTGGAAATGCTTCTTGAGCAATACCCGGGACCAGGCTGTCACTGAGTCACAAGGCTGCTCCCAGCCAGGGTGGGATCGAGACTTTAGAAGCTCCAACACTGAAAAGATACGGAGTGTGGAACTCAAAATAGGACTAAACTCTGAGACCAGGTAAAGGAAATCCAATAGGATTCTCATTTTCCCGGGATGAACTTCTTCAGTGCTTTTATTTTTTGGTGAAGTATCAAACACAAAATCCTTCCCCCCACCTGAGTTCTCATTTTGGGGTGCCCCTGAGTCTTCCCAGGGTGACTCAGCAGAGATCAAGGTGGGTTTTCCATACGTGGTCACTGCAGGACACTCAGAAATGCAACCAGATACATGGGGTCCCAACCCCAAAGGGTTTGCCTCCTTGTTTTCACTGCAAAGGGAAACAATTTTGGTCTCTGACAATTCTACCTGAGGCTGTAACACCTCGGGGCAAGTCCCAAGGGCCATGCCTGCAGTCCTAGGGGACACTCACACCCACCCACCAATGGCCCACAGGGGGCTGGGCACACATGCCCAGAGTCAGAGAACATGCCCGTTCTCAGTTGGGGGAAGCCCCGTGCCAGAAGGCCCTTGGAAATACGGGGAGGGGGGCTGACCTTGACCGCCACAGTAACTGAGCCAAAGGGCTATAGATGTGAACAACAATGACCTGGAAACTCCTACAAGGTAAAACTGTCCCTCCCAAAATGCCACCAGGGCCTTTGCTGAGAAAATCCATCATCTGGAAACAGAAGAGTTGATTCCAAACCTCATTTGGAATTTGAGACTAACTTTTAGAACACCTCTTTTGGAGGGTTAATATCCAGAATCTATAAGGAACTCACCAAACTACACGCCCGAAAAACAAACAACCCAGTGAAGAAATGGGCAGAAGATATGAACAGACACTTCTCCAAAGAGGACATCCAGATGGCCAACAGACACATGAAACGATGCTCAGCATCCCTCCTCATCAGGGAAATACAAATCAAAACCACACGGAGATACCACCTCACGCCAGTCAGAGTGGCTAAAATGAGCAAACCAGAGAACTCTAGAAGCTGGCGAGGATGTGGGGAAACGGGCACCCTCCTACACTGTTGGTGGGAATGTAAACTGTGTGCAGCCCCTCTGGAAAACAGTGTGGAGGGTCCTCAGGAAACTAACAATAGAACTCCCCTATGACCCAGCAATAGCACTGCTAGGAATTTACCCAAGGGATACAGAAATGCTGATGCATAGGAGCACATGTACCCCAATGTTCATAGCAACACTCTCCACAATAGCTAAAACGTGGAAAGAGCCTAAGTGTCCATCAACAGATGAATGGATCAAGAAGATGTGGTTTATCTATACCATGGAATACTACATGGCAATGAGGAACAATGAAATCTGGCCATGTGTAGCAACATGGATGGACCTTGAGGGTGTTATGCTGAGCGAAATAAGTCAGGCAGAGAAGGACAAATATCATATGTTTGCACGTATAGGAGGATTAGGAGGAACTTGACGGAGGAACAAGAGGGAGAAGAAGGGAGGAAATGGCGGGGGGAAGGGAGAGAGGCAAACCATGAGAGACTCTTGAATGCTGACAAAAACTGAGGACTGATGGATGTGGGGGGAGGGGGGGAGGGGCATGGAGGAGGGCACTTTGGGGATGAGCACTGAGTGTTATGTGGAAACTAATTTGACAATAAACTATTTGTAAAAAAAAGAAGTAAATACTTGATAATACTTGAAAAAAAAAAAAAAAGAACACCTCTTTTGGTGTTCTTCATTTTGGTTGGTGACGAGGTAGGGCCTTTCTTCTTGTCTACTTTTCTCAGATACTGTTGATACAGAAAACAGGGAGACTGGAGAGGGTCCCGGCGTGGAGCGCCCCCTGGATCATTCAGCAGGGCATGTGGGGGAAACTGCTCAAGGCACAAAGCTAATAGATATGAAAAAGAGGGAGGTATTTTGGGAATCCAGTCCAAAGCATAAATCTTGGATTTTGCCAAGAAAACAGCTCTTGGGCTCAAAGAACGTATCTTTATTTATCCTTGCTCCAGTCATTCTCTTTGCATTAGAAAGGATCAGGGACTGTGGGAACCGGATCATTTCAGCAAAGTGAGAAATACTGACCCTCGGGATCAAGAAGCAACTTTCCCAGGGGCCAGGGTTGGGTCCCCAGGCTCTGGGTGGCAGTCTAGGTCTGTTCCTGCCTAAACTTCCTTCCTACTGGTGCGGCCAGGACTCCTTTGCAGATGTGATCAGCTTACCACGTGAGCAGACCAATGGTTCATATTTGTGAAAATAGCATCACGAAGGTGCTCATTCATTTGTTCATTTGTCCGTCTGTCCATTCATTCATTCATCCACCAACCATTTGTTACCAGCCCTCTGTGCCTGGCACCATGCTAAGAGCTGGAAGCACAAGGCTGGACTCAGTAGAAAGTGTGCCCTTACCAGGCCTGGTGCCAGCTGCCCACGGATCATTACAGAACTAGCTGAGACCCGGTGGCCTCACTCAGCAGCCAGCAGGCTCCAAGAGGAGACCAGACATGCAGATTGGCTAATGTGCAAGGTGAAGGTCATCGGTGGCTGAGGAGAGGAGGCCATTTGGTGCTAAGGATTAGGGAGGAGGGTCATGTCCGTGAGACAGGTGATCAGACAGCGGAGGCTGAGGCAAGCGGGGTGTGAGGTCCCAGATGTGAGGCTGCTGGAGCTCCGCTCCCTCCCCACTCCCCCTTGCTTGCGGCCAAGATTCTGCCAACACTGACAGAAAGGCAGCAGCTGTCATGACCTCTCAGGGGTCGAAATACCCTCTCTCCCGGGACTCAGTAAGGCTCCATCTACTGTATTCAT